TAGGGCTCCATTTAAACAACACTCCAGAAGGCAAAATATGAGACAGACCTCAGATCAGTAGTTGCCTACAGTTAAGTTAGAAAGAACACACGGACCCCAAATGGGCATCAGGGACCTTTGCAGGACAATTGACCTTTCCACCAAAACTCTCGGAACTGTGTACCTTAAAAAGGTGAATTTTACTGTATGTAAGTAATACCTCCATAAACCTAACCTTCAGAAAAGGGAATGCTTTAAAAAAAAAATCCCTCGTTTTAGGCCTCCAAGAAAATGGTGCAGCTGACACATTTGACTATGTGAAAAAGAAAATTGTAGGGAGTTTTATAGTTTCTCAAAGACTTTGGGAAGGACTGATATCTAGACAAGTAAGAAAATGAATAAACAATGTAATTATCGGCTCCAGAAAAAAACAAAAAGTTGTACGAGAAAAAGATTAAATCATAATATACTATTGGGCTGGGTTGTAAGTGAATTTTCAAAGTTATAATATCAACATAGAATATTTATTTGCAGTACAAAGGGCCCAGGGATAGGAGTCCCTAAGTGAACAAACAGCTCACAGGGCCCCCACTGTGGCCTGGGGGCTGACTCTGTATTTGCAGACCTGTAAAGTGAACTCTGAAATAGCAGCAGCAGCAATAAAAAAAACCCAAGTAACCTCCCGAGGCAGCATGTGACTAAACACCAAAAGACAGTGCGGTGTGTGCAGGACAGACCTCTGAAGCTGGCTTGGTCAAGGAAGGCTTTGTGGTGTGAAACTTCCTGGTGGTATGAAGGCTGGTAAGGCCTTGGAGAGGATGAAGGGGAAACAGAAGGCTTCCCAGGAGGTACCTATGCAGCAGGGGTGTGGGGATAAGGATGCAAAGGTGCTCGATGCCAGCCTGAGGAGTTGGCATCTGTTTCTCTAGCCTGGGCTACTTCTATCAGTAGGATATTTGAGGGAAACAGATTAACATCTATTTAAAAATCTAAGCTCCAGATCTGAATTCTGCCACCTCCACTGACCAGTTATGTGCCTCAAGCTGAATTACTTGAATCTCCTCTAACTTCAGTACACCCAAGACCAGGAAAAGGACTGTTACATCTCAGGGTTGGTGTGAGAATTAAGTGGATTTAGCAGCAATCCTCAACACAGCTCGGTAAGCATTCAATAAATGGTGGCTGTCGTAGGAAACTACAGGATCAACAGGCTGGTCTTTTCAAGAAGTAAATTCAAGAGAAAGATATGTTACAGATTAAAAGCCTTAAGAGATATATCAACTGAATGCAATGTGTGAATCTTGTTTAAATCCTAGTTTAAATAAATCAACTGCAAAAAAGAAAATGTATAAGAAAATTGGAGAAATTTGAATACTGATTGCATATCTGACAGTATTAAGTTATTACTGCTAATTTCTTAGGTGTGATAATGATAGTGTGCATTTTTAAACAGTATCATTTTGAGATACATGAAGTATTCACATATAAAAGAATGTGACATCTGGTAATTGTTTTAAAATAATCTAATGTGAGGGGGTACAGATGAAGATCAGCCATTTGTTTACAACTGCTGCAGCTACATGATAGATCTATGTGTGAGATTTGCTGTACTATTCTTTCAGAAATTTTCCCCTAATAAAAAGGTTAAAAATAGCCCTGGCTGGTGTGGCTCAGTGAATTGAGTGCCAGCCTGCAAATCAAAGTGGTCGCCAGTTCGATTCTCAGCCAGGGCACATGCCCAGGGTTGTGGGCCAGGTCCCCAGTAGGCAACCACACATTGATGTTTCTCTCCCTCTGTTTCTCTCCCTCTTCCCCTCTCTAAAAATAAATAAAATCTTTAAAAAAAAAGTTTAAAAATAAATTGAGCAAATAGTAGCTATTATGTTCAATATATTTTCATGAATGTATACTAGAATGTAAGCAAAGGATCGCGGTTTATCTTTCTAGTCCACTCCCTTCCCCACAAGGTCTAACTCTGAGTTTTCTTGGTATGGTACAAGCCCAATCATGTAAACCTGATTATATCTATGCACTCTTGCTTTTTAAAACTTTGAATACTCCCCTCTTCTCTTAAGGGTAAATACACCAGTTCATCATAGGGCTGTCTACTTTTTAAAGGCCCTGCCTATCACTTCAGCCTCAATTCAAATTACTCTTCTCTCCATATTCTGCGTCGGCCATTTTTCTGTTCCTCAAATGAGTCACACTCTATCCTACCACAGACCCTACCTAGCATATGTCATCCCTACTGTCCATGACATTCTTCCCCTCACCCTCTCTCCTCCTAACTGTCCGTTACCTAATCACCTCCTACACTTTCTTCAGATCTCAGCTCAATCTTCACTACTTCTAGGAAGCCTCCACTGACCAGAAAAAGCTGGGTCATTTTCCCTCATATGCATGCTCATACACTGTCATGTGCCTCTCCTTCATAGGACTTAGCACAGTTGTAACATTAAAGTTTTGCTGTTGTTGATCTTTACATCTCCAGCATTTGGCGCAGGGCCTGGCCTAGAGCAAATGACAATAAATATTTGTTGAATAAACCAACGAGTAAGTGATGACTTATTGATTCAAAATCTTCCCACTTACTGCCTGCAAGACCTCACTCAAGTGTTCTCCTTGAAATGCCTGGCATCAAAAGTCCTAGTCCTCTCACCAGTCATCGCCCACGTTGAAGGCATTAAGGCTCTTGGTGAAGCCTTGCATATTGGTGGGGCTGACTCTCTGCAGGAAGTCAATGTAGTCCTCAGAGTGGAAGCGGCACATGTCATGCTGGGAGGCCTGGTATGGCTTGAAGACCTCAGGATAGAAACACAAAGTGAACCCAGGCAGGGTCGGTCCCCATCACGGGGCTGAGACTGCCCACACTGTACCAGCCCCGGAGACTATCCAAAACCACACCCAGCAGTCCCTTTACCCCCAATCCTTGTTATACTATGAGACAAAGGTCAGTGAAGAAAAGAGGCTCTGATAAGCAAGGTGGTTTATGATGGTCGAGCCCCCTAAAGACCACTGTGCTTGCTTTTTCCTTCCCACCTCTAGCCTAGCCTATCCTACCTTCTCAACCATGGGCCCGAATCCACCTGCCCTGTTCCCTGGATCTCCTTCCTATTCCTGATTCTCTCCATAATCATCTCCTCCCCTGGGCCCTGATTCTGCCCTTTCTGTATCTGAGTTCTTAATTTTGGAATCAAATAATATGGGATATAAGACAGTCTTCTAATTAAAACCCAAAGTACCCAGGTGCTAAGCCAGAGATTTCTTTTTTGAGGGGGTTCACATGCTTGTTAGAAATTGACCAAGACCAAGAAAGCTTTTTTCTCCCCAGAAAATGTACACAGGTACATACCAGCAAAAGGTTTCAAGGAATTCATAGATTCATGTACTAACACCTCCTCAATCTTTTCTATGATTAATTCACTTGTCTGTGCCTCAGCACAAGCAGTGGACACTCATTCACACGGTTGACTAATTCCCCTTGCAATGCCATGAGGGCTGAGCTTAAGTGTTATAACTGCATATCACAGCTACAAATTCCAAGCTGGGGACAGACAGCATGTGTGTGTCTGGCAGATAAAGGGCTGGGTAGTGATTACCCATGTAGGGACATTCTAGGTGGAAAAGGGAATACCCAGATCATCTGCCGTCCTCCACATACACATACACATTTTCACAGAGGGCTCTAGTCCTCCCTGGAGCTCCAGCTCCTTGCTGGTGTAGAAGGGTTTCAAAGAAGGGTAGGAACTGAGGGTAAACCTCACATCCAGATACAGTAATCCAACCCCCTTTCCCTTTCCTGAGGCCACGGCACTGCCCACATCCTAAAAAGCTACGGAGAAAAACACCTGTCTTCTAACCAGCTGCACTCCACCCTAACTCTAGGCCAAGTATTAGTCCACTTAAGGTCAAAGGGTGGCTTACCTAAATAAGGTGAAAGCGTAACTCCCATCAACGCTTTGCTAATGGCGGGGGCGGGGGCGGGGGCGGAGGGCGGGGAATTGCTCCCGGTTCCTTCTATCCAGCCTCCCCCCACCCCCACTCTTGGGGTGGGTCTCACTTGGTGCATTCAGTGCGGCCTACCAGCTCTAGGGCCGCAGCTCGCCCCCACCCTCAATCCCCAGGAGAGGCAGCGGAACTCACGATCATTTTCTTATAGAGACCGTAGTGCAGGACCAGACTGTGGGTCAGTGCCAGGCGGTGGGGCTTCATAGGGTGCCCAGCCCCTGGGGGAAGGAGCAGAGAATTCGTCAGTTCTCATCCCTGGACTTGTAACCCCAGTCTCGGAACGTCCACGTCCCTAAGCTCCACGCGTACCACCTTGCTCCCTCACCGTAGTGGAAGTTGCCCACGTCGGGGTCGTAGAAATAGGCCACGGTTTTGGCCATGGTGCCCGAGGGACCAGGCCCCGCGCCTCAGCCGCCCGCCTCCCGTCTGCCCCACCTCTCGAACTACGTGCTGCGTAAGCACGCAGTCTGCCTCTGCGGAACCTGTAGCTCAGGCCCCGCCTCCCCAGGCTACGCCCAGGCCACGCCCCCTGCGGAGTTTGGCCCCCGGCCTAGCTTTCAGGTTCTGGGGCGGGAGCTTCTGGGCTCGGGCAAAGAACAGGTAGCATCCATCCTAGGATGCCGGGGCCACTTCCTTCCGGGCGAGGGTCAAATCCTCGAGAAGCCGAGCCATCCCGTCCAGCCACCTGCCCCAAACGGAGTGCAGGCCGTGGTCACTTCTCTAGGAGGCTCCAGAGAACCGGCCACACAGCCCCTCTCGGATGCCGAAAGCCGGCTTCCCCCGGGCCACTGGGAAGATTCTTGGCTCTCCACCCGGCCGGGGCGTCTGAGGGCAGAAGCCGCGCCAGACGTGCCGGATAGACTAGAAGAGAGCACTCTCGCCTGACTGCCTATCCATCCCACCCGGACCCAGACTCGGCGCTGCACACTCCCCGGAGGCGGGGGGGCGGCCGGCGCAGTCACGCGCGCACCACCCTTGCGCTCTCTCTGCCCCGCACACCTGCGCTCCGCCCCCTGGTCTCGGGGAGGCGACGGGCGAAGGCATTTGGGAACCCAGGGTGGCTGCGGCGGCGCCCCCCATCTCTTCCCCTTTCCCAGGGCCGGAGTTGTCCGGAGCCTGCCATTGCTCCCGATCAGCCTGCGTCCCTCACTATCCTTCCTTCCCCCCGTGCCTGCCGCGGCACCGGTATCTGCAGTCGCAGCCCGGGGCCGGTAAGGCGGCGAAGGGGGGAAGGGAAGGAGGCAAGTGATGAGAGCCGGGAGGGCGTCGGGGGCCCTGAGCCGGACTAGGACGCCCCTGGAGCCGGAACCCGAGCAGGAGCCGAAGCCGGAGCCAGACCCAAACCACCGGTACTGAGTGGGCCAGGTGGTCAGGATGGGAGGAACCGAAAGCTGGGGAGGGCTCTGGAGTACAGGCAGGTGAGGGGCTGCAGGGGCCTGGTTCAGGCCGGATCAGAGGAGGTGCGGTCCCTTCACGCGCGATTCTTGCGCTGGCCGCCGGAGAATCCCGTCCCATCTCGCTCTGCAGTGTCCTTGGAAGGGACGGAAGCGCAGGACAAACTGGAAAGGGGAAAGCTGTGGGCGTCGGGGAAGCGGGAGCAGGGTAGTGGAAGAGGGCTTGCGCAGCCGCGGTCTGGCACCCCTGGCCTGGACCAGCACCCCAAGCCCGGACAGCTCCCTGGTGGGTGGGGCCGGACCTCCAAGGCTTGACTCTTTCAGATCCTGAGGACCGCATTCCTATCCCTCCCCCCATCCCTAGCTGCAGCCCCCTTACCCCAGGAGGCGCCCTGGCCCGCGCTCGCCCCCCAGGGCCTCATGTCGGAACCACAGCCTGACCTGGAACCACCCCAACATGGTCTGTACATGCTCTTCCTGCTTGTGCTGGTCTTCTTCCTCATGGGCCTCGTGGGCTTCATGATCTGCCACGTGCTCAAGAAGAAGGGCTACCGCTGCCGCACGTCCAGGGACTCAGAACCTGATGACACCCAGCTCCAGCCCCGTGAGTGAGGCGCCTAGAACCTGGCTCAGTCACTTTTCTTCCTTACCCCTCTCCCCACAACTCTGTCTGCCTTCCTGGCCAACAGACCCAGGCCAAGCCTTCAGAAGGCCTAGTGATGCTTTCTTGAGTCAGCAAGTGGGATGACACCACCTTGAAAGCAAAGCTAGAGAAGGCACCATGGGTGGGTAGGGCCCACTGATGGTACTCGGGCTTTCATTGACGTTCTCATCTTTTCTGCCCTGGCCCCTAAAATGCTAGTGCCCAGCACGATGACAAATAGGCAAAGGGTATGTCTTGAGCAATAAGCTACAAAAGCCACCTGGTAATGTTCCCCAAAGCTGACTCATTTCTCAATTCCTTGCCAACCTCTCATCCTTCAGCTGAGGACGATGACATGAATGAGGACACAGTGGAGAGGATTGTTCGCTGCATCATCCAAAATGAAGGTGGGTGTAGGCGCTCCCCACCCCCACTTTCTCTTGTCCTGAGCTCCACCTCCACTGACTCCCTCTTTTCCTTCTCCTCTCAGCCAATGCTGAGGCCTTGAAGGAGATGCTGGGGGATAGTGAAGGAGAAGGGACAGTACAGCTGTCCAGGTGAGCTGGAAACAAGGGCCAGCATGACTTCGCTTGCCTTGGAGAGTACCCTCTCCTCCAGCACAATCCCCTCCCAGTCTCCTTGCATGCTTGGCATGGGGGAGGGCAAGGCTGGCTAACCTGTGGGAAGAAAGAAGTTTTGTAGAAACCCCAAGTTCTTCAAAGCATACCTCCCATCTGGATGTCATCAAGCCTAATATTCACTCTTTGCATCACTCCTTTGGGTTAAGCATCACCCTCTTTTAAAAACAAACAAACAAACAAACAAAAACAGCCCTGGGAGGGAGAACACAAGATCACTACCATCTTAATATTGAGTTTATTAGAAAAAGACAAAAGAATGCTGGGGCCTGGGGAGAGTTGGCATCTGGAGGTTGAAGGAGCATGCTGAAAGAACAGGAACAAACAGAACAGGAAAGGAAATTGTAAAGTCACCCCTGCTTCCTTCCTTCCTACTGTCCAGTGTGGATGCCACGTCCAGCCTGCAGGACGGAGCCCCCTCTCATCATCACACCGTGCACCTGGGCTCTGCAGCACCTTGCATCCACTGCAGCCGCAACAAGAGGCCCCCACTTGTCCGGCAGGGACGCTCCAAGGAAGGAAAGAGCCGTTCCCGGCCTGGGGAGACCACCGTGTTCTCTGTGGGCAGGTGGGATAGAGTGCCCCAGGGTGAGGGAGGTTAAGGTGGGGGACCCCATGATCAGGCCCCTGACTCTAAAGTTGGGCCTCAGCTCTTCTCTCCTGGATCCCAACCTACAGCAGGAGTCAGGGTACACAATGTGCCCCACAATATGAGGTGGTCTCCCCTCCCCGAGGGCAGAAGGAAGTGGCCATCAAACCCAGGATGACCCTGGTGGGAGGGAAGGGCCAAGCAGCCTCTGAGTTGTGGTCCTAAGCCCCAGTGTTCCCTCCCCTCCCAGGTTCCGGGTGACACACATTGAGAGGCGCTATGGGCTGCATGAGCATCGCGATGGCTCCCCTACGGACAGGAGCTGGGGATCTGGTGGGGGACAAGACCCAGGGAGTGGTCAGGGGTCTGGGGGAGGGCAGCCCAGGGCAGGGATGAGAGCCATTGAGAGCCTGCCCCCTGAGAGGCCACCACAGCCCCAGGCCCTCGCCAGCCCCCCAGTGCAGAACGGAGGACTCAGGGACAGCAGCTTTGTCCCTTGTGCACTTGGGGGGAACCCTGGAGCCTCTGCAGAACCAACACTGGGGGCTGGAGGAAGGGGCCCAAGCCCGGGACTGGCCAGTCAAGAGGCAAATGGACAGCCAAGCAAAGCAGACACCTCAGATCACCAGGTATGAAGATGTGGCCAGGGATGTGGTGGGCTGAGCTCTTAGTGCCCCCTACTGTGGAAATGAGGGTGCATGGATATGACCCACATCCTGTCCTCCCATTGTTGACCCCTCCTCTCACTCAGGTGTCTCCAGCACGGGGAGCAAGGGGTGTGTGAGGTGAGTCTGCCTGGACTCCAAGTCAGATAATCTCACCCTCCCGCCCCGGCCCTGGTACCCACCGCCCCCCCCGGGTAAACTGCAGGCTTAGTCTTTGCTACAGATTCTTTGGTTTGGTGGCGGGGAGCGGGCATGTGCTCCAGGGGATAGGGAAGATCCTGCAGCCCCCAGGAAAAAGCTGGGTACGGCTTGAATAGGAGGCAACACTGTTACCCTTCCTCTCCTCCAAGCTCCTTCATTGCTGAAGAACTACCAGCTGGCAGGGACAGGGGTGGGTGGCCATGAAGCCCCTCCTCTCCACTGGACAGGACTGCCCCCCAGCTGAGGGACCAGCCCTACTTCTACCTGGAGTTTCATGGTCTCAGGCTGGGGGACCTTGGGAGAAGTGCCCCACCCCTGGGCCGCAGTCTACCCTTCCCCTGCCTGGCAACAGGCTGCCTGACCCGCCTTCCCTGTCACCTCGCTCCATATGCTAGAGCGCGGCAGCTGGGAGCAGGCCCCTTCCCTTGGTGGGCCCCTAAAGCAATAGCACCTTAGGCCTCCTGCCCTCTTGGCACAAGAAGCCCAGGCCCTGGCTTGGGCTTCGTGCCCTTTATTCACTGTCAATAAATCTGCTCAGACCATTACAGTTGTTTCACATACTGGCTCCAGCTCCTTCTGACAGGTCTGCCCCGTCCCAGCCCCCAATCCCAGTGGCCCTGGCATTTGGAGTGGGGTGGGTCGCAGAGCCAAGGTGGAGACAAGGAGGGGCCAGAGCCACACAAAACTTTGGCAGATGGGGTCCAGCCCCAGAGATTTCAGGGTATTTCACCGCCCCAGAGCTGGAGTGGTGGCAGAAAAGGAGGCGGTAGTTCCAGCCCTACACTTGGCAAGAGGATGGACAACGGGGAGAAAAGGAGGAGATCCAGCCCCAGAATGGGGAGAGGGGAAGTTTCTACCCCTAGAGGTGAGAGTAGAAATGGGGGAGACTCCAGCTTTTGACTGTGTCACTCCGGATCACTGAAGGGCGGTCTCTGACAGCATGGAGGCAGGGGCAGCAGCAGCAGCGTCCCTGGGGGCAGTGATCCCCCGGCGTCAGGTGAGGGGATCTGGGCGGCCAGGATCCGGGGCTTTAGCAGGTGGGGGAGGCGGCGGACGCACCTGTAGGGAACACACAGTCAGTGCGCCAGGGGCCTCTCCGGGGGATATCCCCGTCCGTTCCTGCAGCCCCACAGACAAATCAGGACAAGATGGAACGACCCCTCTCTGCACAGCCTCCTCCAGGGGAGAGGCCCTTACCGGCCTGAGTCGAGGCGTCATCATGTCCAGGGGTCCAGGGCAGTCCAAGTCTTGGTCTGGAAGCAAGAACCACAAGTCAGTTTTCAGACTTTGTTTTGTTCACTGCTCTATCTCTAGCACTTAAGACAGTGGCACTCTGTAAATATTTGTTGAATTAACAAATAGTCACCGACCTGGGGCGTGAAATCCGTCTACGTATCTATCCTCAACACTTACAGGGCGCCTGCTGCATAATCAATCTTGCTCAAGGTATCAGAGAAAGGGAGCTGGGATCCACAGGCGCCCCCCCCCCCACCGCCGGGGCTGTCAAGAACCCAAGAATGAAATGCAGCAAGCACAATGAAGGATTCAGTGCTAAGTCATTCCACGTGAACTATGGTGCTAGAGAAGGCAGAAAATGCTCACAGGTCTCGCCAGTGTTACAGAGGAAAGGTCTGTAAAGAAAGTGCAAGTACTAGCAGACTTTAGAAAAGGTGGACGCTCCAGTGATGACGCAAACCAAGGTGTTTGCAGGATTCAAAAACACTTAAAAGCAGAAGATAGGTATTGGGTAAACACTGTGGAAGAAGCTGGCTGATTTTGAAAATAATAATGAGAACAGGGCTACTGCTTGCATGCGTGCTGTGTGCCAGGCACAATGCTGGGCGCTCCACAGGCATCTTTTTAATTCACAGCAGCTCCACTCTGTAAAGACCCAGACACGTTAAACACGCCACCCAAATCACACACTAGGAGGCCACACAGTGGAGTGCGAACACCGGGCCTGGCTCCGCAGCCTGAGCCCTTCCCACTGCCATGCTTCAGCGAGCCTCGTGGCAGGCGTTCCCAAGCGCGGGCAGAGGCCAGGTGTGACCCAGGAGTCCGAAGACTCCTCCTTCTTCCTGCCTCCTTCCCTCCCATGGCCCCCGGTTCCCTCCACTCACCCCCAGGCAGGACAGGTGCAGGCGGCCCATCCAAGGCAGAAGTGGGTACGGGAGGGGAGAAGCTGGGAGGAGAAGGTGACGGCAGCATCTGAGAATGAGGGGGGCATAGTTATTTCAAGCATGTGGGACGGTTTCACAGCTTGTCCTCTCGTCCCATCTTCAGTTCCTGTCCCATCACTTCCCAACACCAAGAGTGGCCCAATGCTTGTATCTGGGTGGAGTTGTCGCTGTTAACACATTTCAACAGCGAATATGTATGGACACTATGTCCCAGGCGTTCGCTCACACTCCACATGCCCCACTTCACTCATTCCTCACTGCCACCCCATGAGGTAGGAATCAGATTCCTATGTCAGGGGCACGGCTCAGGCTAAGCCATCTATTAGAAATCACAGAACCAGTTCGTGGCAGAGTCCTGGCTAGAGCCAGGGTCTCCTGACTCCCATTCCTATGCTCTTCCTACTGCATTATAACAACAGGTACCATATTTTAAAGAACCTCCTGTAGGCCTCTGTGCTAAGGGCTTTATCTCCATTATCCCTGCTCAGGATAGTTGGCCTGCCGGAGAAGGTAGTATTCTCTTTGTACATGTGAAGAAAGAAGCCTAAGAGGTCAAATCACTGCCCAAGGTGATGCAATAGGAATCTGAATTCAGATCTATCATCTGTCCAGCACTACAGTAGCACCTCCAAACTCTTAGGAAGACTGCCCTGGGTCCCCTCTTCCCCACCCAGCCAAAGGACATGGCAGGGCCTGAGCCACTGCAGGAGGTAAACCTGGGGAGGGGAGGGGGCATTAAGATAAACACGGGGCCTCAGTGGGGAGGGCGGGTCAATCCAGAGGTGCCTGGGGACCCAGGGAGAAGGCAGCCTCACCTGTTCAGGGTCTGAAGACTCAGGTGGCCCCGGGGGTCCAAGTAGCTCCTCCACCAGCAAGGAGGGGAAGACACCAACATGGCCCCCAAATTCTCCCCTCCAGAAGCCGTCATCCACTCCGTCCTGGGCCCGGGGCAGCAGGCGGATGAGTGCCCCCTCAGGGAAGCTCAGCTCCTCTGCGCTCTGTCCCGTGTAGCTGTACAGGGCCCGGGCCAGGGATGCTGCAGAGACCCGGTGGAGGTGGTGGGGGGGGAGGTAGCAGTGGTGCCCGGGCCCATGACACCCGAGGGTCACAACCACTCAGTGACTCTTCCCTGTAGCCAGCATCCACGGACCCAGGATTTTCCCTTCTTACTTGTGGGCTCTGCTCCCGAGGCATTGTTGCTGTCGTGGCCACTCTCAGGGAAGGAGAGGTCCGGGAAGTTGAGATACCGCTCCGGAACAAAGCCTACCACGCCATGCTGGTTCCGAGCCTGCTCACCCAAAATGAGAACAGATAGCATCTGTGGCCCTGGCCCTCCCCCCTCAGGCTTCTAGCGTTGCCTGGCTGAGTCCTTGGGGGCCTCAGAGAAGTCCTTCCCATTGCCCCCACCCCCCAAGGTCAGAGCCCAGGGTACATACCCACCTTGACCCATTCGTCAGCATCTCCCTCCTCTATGACCTCCAGCCACTCGCCTTCGGTGATAGTCAGCTCATCCTCATGCCCTGCCTGGGCCCCACAAGGAAGGAGTCAGGACTTGGCGATCCCCATCCCTACGCATCTGAGGTCCCCACCCCCATTCACACCTGATAGCCAAACACCACATGTGCAGGGCAGGGGAGGGCTCTGGTGGCCAGGGCTGGGGGGACAGGCTCCTCAAAGAGCTCTCCAGTCTCCTCACATTCCTCAAAGTCAGAGAACTCAGCATCCTCAGCCTGGGGGGCGGGGGGGGCAGGGAACAGACATCACTGTCACTCTCAAGTTTGCATTGTATGTCCCATTCCTCCCTCCTTCCCTTAAAGATCTTAGCGGATCCTCCTCCAAGGCAGTACCACTCATCCATTCACGAAGTGTCACCGAAAAATCACTACAGGGCAAGGTAACACTAACAATGACCGCGGTGTTAAGAGTCCTGGGCACTTACTAATGTGCCAGACACAGTGCTAAGTGTCTTATGTATAGCCTCTCGTTTAATCTTCATCATAACCCAGTGTCATTTGTATAACTATTAACCTCATTTTACTTATGAAAAAGCTGAGGTTCAGAAAGGCTAAGTCACTTTCCAAGATCACACAGCTCAGTAACTGGCTGGTACTTGAACCACTTGGGGCCTGCCCCTGAGACTTTAGTTCATAACCACCACCTTACACTCATAATACAAATTTGTTGAGGACTTACTATGCTACAAACTAAGTAAAGAATTATACTTAATATGATTTCATTCAATTCTCAGGACAACCCTTTGATTTAGGTACTGTTGTGAGTCCTACTTTATAGGGCCTGCCCCTCGCTGGGGAGTTTGACCTCGCGACGTGTGTGGGTAGAGGGCAGAAGGAGCTCACCGTGGGAGAGAGGTCCCTCTGGGACAGCCGGGCCTCGCTGAGCCGTTGTTCCTGCTCCACCTCGTCCTGGGCCTGGGTCATGGCTGGCTTCAGCCAGTGCTGTACATCCAGGCCAGCCCCCTGCAGCAGGGCCAGCCGGGCAGCCCCCTTCACCTGGCTCACCTGGCATGGGGAAGAGGGATAAAGGGCTGGGCTTGCTTTGGGAAGGTGAGTGGAGCCTCCCCAATGTGTCCATCCTCTACCCTGTGCCTCCCCCTTTCCTGCTATCAGACAGAGATATGGAAGAGATGTTGGCTGCGTCTCACCTGTGCCCGTAGGATGCTCTGCTTCACTTCCTGCAGCCGCTGCTCTATGCCCGGGGCCTCCCG